GACTATTAACATTCTTTTGTATATACAGTCTGGAATAAGGTACCATGAAATGGTATACTGTCTACCCTGACACACTTAATATAATTTAATGGCAATCTTGTGTTCTTACTGTAAGTGACCCAAATCTGAAAACAAACTGTACAAGATAGACCAGTAAAATGACACACAGTCCAGTTGGTGAAGAATTCTTCAAGGTTAAAGGCTCTGTTTTTATAGAATCATGGAATATATACTTACACAGCTGTGAAGATGTGAATAATGAAATGGCTAGTATGTATCCATAAAGAATGCCCAAGTAACAACAGCATATACTGTGATACTTCCTGCATTTGCTTTTCAGTCAATCCAAAAATGCTTTCTGGGTACAAATCTGTGATAGGGTGGTGAGGTGGAAAGTACTGCTGATGAAAACTGAAACATGAGGTCAAACTATTTTATATGTAATGAGCAAATAACAGAAATCAGTAGAAAACAATAAAGTAGTTAACAGGGAAAATAATAGCTATCGATTACAATTTACATTGTAATCTTGTGTAAAAGTAAAAAAAAATACCTTATTATCAAATAAAGTAAGAGCACTTAAAACGCAATCAAACCAAGTTGTCACCTGTATGTTTTGAGAACACAGGGCATTCTAAAACCATCATCTGATTCATCATGAACAGATATCACTGTTCCATCTGTCTGTGGTAATGCCAAGTATTACTTTAAAAGAAGGCAGTGTTGTGTGAATGTGGTCAATGCAGTGTGATTCAAGTTCTATAGATGAATGGCACCACAGAACATTGGACAATCAGCAGACATTCATGGATAGCTCATGTGTCATATCTTGGAAGCCAGGTGTTTCCATGGTATTGGTATTCAACAGTGTTTTCCAAGGTAGAAAAAAGATAATGTCTTCCATAATAAGAAAAGGATGCTCAACATGAGCATCCAAGCACCCGCTCCTTGGAGGAGAATATTTGCTTCCGTGAATTTGCCTTGAATTCAGAATTATAGAAAAGGTGAAAGTTGTTGTCATTCTTAAACACACTTAACACTTCTCTGGGTACCAGTACACAAGTGCACTTCAGGGTACTTGACAGTTGGGGTATTGCAAAGTTTGTACCCACTGAGTACTGAAGCAACTCACAGATGTTGACAAATCCAGTGAGATGGAGTTCCTTCAGCTGCCTCTGACATTACCACACATGAAGGGCTGCATTTCCTGCTGTGTGTGGTTACCTACAGTATGATAACATGTGGGTGCGTCATGTGACAGCAGAGCTGACACTAATATTGTTCCCTCCTGCAAAGAGGGCCAGAAGAACTCTATCAGTAAGGAGGGTCCTGGCAACTGTGTTTTGGAACCAGTAGGGTGTGTTTCCTGTTGATTTTCTCTGCCAGGGCAAGAGCGTGCTTGCGGAACACTGCTGTCATACACTGGACTAGTTGCAGGAGGCCACTCGTCAAAAACAGCTGGGACTGCTGCCTCTGGGCAGTATCTTGCTGCATGATAACACCGGGCCACACACTGACGGCCACACCCGTTAAGGGACCACCCACCTCACAGGACTGACCCAACACTTGAACACAAAGATTTCCAATCCTTTGATCCCTGAAAGGAACACCTGTCCAGCAGATGATCTACGAATCAGAAAGCGCAGCAGACAGTTAACCGGCGGAAAAGTGATGTGTATCATAGCATTATGGGTGGCCACACCTGTAACAAAGTATGAGTTCGTGCATTGCCACCCAGGACTCTTGCCACATTATTTATTTAACAAAACCCTCATTGTAGATGGAAATAAAGAAGTCAGAATTATTAATTAATAAATAATCATTGCACATGCAAATTTAAATCCATTGCACATGCATTGTGCACTCTGAAGGAATAACCGGAAGTCAAAATCCAAGTAGGATAAATGTTTCCTGTACTTTTGATCTAAATATTATTAATTATGTCAGAACGTCTTGCACATCAGAGGACAGACTTTGGTATATAAGATAACCTGGCCTCTAGTATTCATCCGTGTTGTTAGTTGAAACCACAGAAGCTAGAAATATATATTGAGAGTGTTGTACCTTAATGTTGTTTTTTTAATTTTTTAATTTTCAGATTGATACATATTATTTTTGGTAGACATATAACAAGGGTTTTGACAGGGTGGTGCCAATATTGATGTTAGCTATTGTAGGCTGTAAAAGTTGGCTGATAGTGTAGTTGCCTTGGGTGTTGTACAGTGCTAGAAATAGCAATGAGCCGCCTTTTCCTCTGCCTTGGAAGGCATGTAGTAGCTGAATTGCAGGTGGTCTGCTTTAAAAAAACACCCACATAAGCACATACCCACATGCACCCATATCCATTTGCTTTATGTTTTTATTGGCAACTGTGCTTTCACAGACATTTGCCTAGTCACATTCTGAATGATGCACTGTTTGATTTTCTCTTTTTGAGCATGAGGTTATATTAAAATGACAGAAGTAGAGATTTATCCCTGATGAAGGAATAAACCAAAGCAAAAGTGATATGAAAATTTTAACGCAACAACAGTGTCAGCTAATAGGATATGTATAATAAGAAAAAAAGACAGTGCTTCAGTACAGAAATGGGACGTATTAGTAAGTTGTGTTATTTCCTACTGAATCATATTTCAAATGCAAGGATAACACAAATAGTAAAACTGGAGGTCAAATGATTGAACCTGTATGCTTTTTTAAAAAAAAAACTTACATAAGCCATTAGGGGAGCCAAGAAAACTGAGTTCCTGTGAGGGGGATGCAAAGCAGAAGAGAGAGAGACAACTGGTGCCCTTCCAAAGTTCCTTTCTATCCCAGTAATATCTTAATGTGGAACAGAACAGTGAGCTAACAGTGGTTTAATCCCAAGTAAGACAGAACCAGGAAGGTGATTTCTCTGTTGAGGGGTACATTTAACTGACAAAATAAATTGTTTCATAATTTCAATTATTTCACTGTGCTTGTCGTATGAAGCCCATAATTTATATTTCAGCTATGACTGGCATATTATGGATTGATAAAGATAAATCGGTCCTTTTTTACAAACCTGTGTGTTCAGTGTAGAGTCAGGGCTCTGGATTAAGGTGATGTGATGCCTTAGCAATTACAGCTGTCCTTGCTTATTTAGGGTGAGTTGCAGCTGTGGGGTTCTTTAAGACACACTGAGCACCTCCCCGGAGGGACAAGCAGACCCCCGCAAGGGGAGAACCTTCCAGCGACAGTCCCGGAGGGGACCGTGACGAGAGTATTGAGGCTGCATTTTCGCTCCTTTTTATTTTTGTTTTCTTTTCACCTGTCCCACTATGATAATTCAGGGGGGAAGGTTGAGTTTTTCTTTTCTTTTTGGGCTCGCTCCTTTCCTTCCAGTATTCCAGATCCCACTAAACAGGGACAGTCCAGACTAGATACCGCTGTTCCAAGCAGTCTTTCTTTTCCCAGACTAGATCCTTATAAATAGGGACAGTCCAGTCTGGATACCACTATGCAAACCAGCATGCTTTTACTTTTTACTTACTTTTTTGTTTTTTGGGGGGTTTTGCTAACCTCTTCCCCCTCAAACAGGCGTTGACTTTTACCTGTGTTTAACTTGGTTCCTCCCCCTCCTTCATTGTTACAGTGGTTAAATCACAGGTTGCAGCCTTTGACTGGATGTATGGTGGCCAGTGGAAGAATAGTGCTAATTACTTAATGGCACGATTTTTTTGTCCATGCATAACTGTACCTTTTTGTTATCTTTAATGTTTTTATGAAATGATGTGGTGCAAATGATATTTTTCTTTCTTCTAATCCTCATTCTGAATTATTACTGTACATCTTTAAGTTTCCATACTACAGCAAAGACTCCTGCACTGACAGCAATGACTTTTCCACTTCTAATTTTTTTTTTGTTGTGGCATTAGTCAACTTTGACAAGACCAGTTTTTGAATAGAGTTTTTAAATAATATTTTTGGAGAAAAAACATTCACAAAGCATTTTGTCTCTTAAAAAATGAGTAAAACAAAGTTGCCTCAGCTGTTTGAAGTTGCATAACAATAATGTTCTTAAGCCATGCTATGGTTTGCTCTGCTGAATTACTTTTTTTTGTTAGAACTAAAGAACATTGAAACATTTTTATTAACTTTTTTAATGACCAGCTCTAACAGGATGCTACCACAGCAGTATAAAGTTAACCCTTTCAAAATGTCATAGCATAACTGATTAGTCATATTTAAAATGCACACATATACACATTCTGAGTACCATTGTAAGTTGCTTAAAATAATCAGTCATTTCACACTTTAAGTGCTCCACATATAACCCTGTGACCTTCAGAGATGAATATATTTAAATAAAAGTGAAAAAACTAAAAGGTTGCAGTGCCACACTGAATTTAATTTGAATTTTATGTATAGGTGGAGGTGAAATGTTTCAGTTGCTTATTACTTTGGTTTCATAGCTGTAAAATGTCAAATCACCCCATTCTTTTTTCACTGTAAAAGAGGTATTAAACGTTTAACAGGATTTATCTGAGACGTTTTGTTCATAATATTCATTTAGTTATATTTATGAAGGAATTGATTTCACAATATCTTAACGGACTTTTGTTGCTAAGTCAGTTTTGAAACTCTCTGCAGTGAGAGTTTAATGGTCACTCTTTGTTGACTTGGCTGAATTACTCCAAAGGCCTCAGATACTGACGGTTCCTTTTAATTTGAAGTTTTTTTTTAATGTCTCATTGATATCTTGGTTTGCAAGGAGCGAATTTAACAATTATCCAATAGCAGTCACATATAATTGTAATAAATATGTTAATTACTGAACATAAATTTGAAATAAAACCAGTATATTGTTTCTTAAAGACAAATAACACAACATTTCCTTTTATATCATAAGTCATTTAATGGAAATGAATCACACTTCTGAATAGATTACATTATAGCTTGTTATCAAAAGTACATTTACTGTACTGTATATAAGCCGATATATAATACTAAATATATGTATTTTCTGTTTTCCACAGTGTCCTAAAGTACACAGCTACCCAGACATGGAAGCAGTTCCTCTTTTGCTCAGTAAAGTGAAGCCTGAGCCTCCTGAGGACTTGTTATCAACTGATCAGTTTCAGACACAGACTGAGCCAGTGGACTTGTCAATGAACAAAGTCAGGACCTCCCCCATGGCTGTGCTGTCATCTCAGTCATCACCCATTTCCTCAGCAGCGTCTGCCTTTTCCCCCTCCTCCTCCTCTTCCTCCTCGTCCTCGTCCTCGTCGTCGTCCTCATCCTCCTCTCGACACACCTCCTCACCCACGGTCATCACCTCAGTGTCCTCGTCCTCCTCCACCGGCATGCCCACAGTGTTGACACCAGGCCCACTCGTGGCGTCCCCCTCAGGAGTGCGGGGCCAGCAGTTCCTGCACATCATCCACCCCGTGCCGCCTTCCAGTCCCATCAACTTGCAGACCAGCAAGCTGCAGAGCCACGTGCACCGCATCCCGGTGGTAGTCCAGTCGGTACCGCTGGTGTACACAGCGGTGCGGTCTCCAGGAAATATGAACTCAACTATCATGCTACCTCTGCTTGAGGAAGGCAGGAATCAGGTCAAAGGTAAGGAGACATAGTTTCTGTATCGTGATGCATTTTAAAGAGTAAACATCCAGCACTGAGATTAAAAGAGTATGAAATCTTCCCAACAGTGATGGAATTTACCCTGGTACCTGGTAATTGTTTTTACTAGATATATAGATACTTTATTGATCCCGTGAGGGAAATTGCAGAAATTTCACTCTTAAGTTTTACTGTAAACTTCAATAAACTTCATGGGCAGAGCGGTGGCACTGTGGCTAAGGATCTGTGCCTGTGACTGGAAGGTCACTGGTTCAAAATTCCACGGCTGGGAGAGGAATCCTACTCTGTTGGGCCCCTGAGCAAGGCCCTTAACCCCAACTGCTCCAGGGGTGCTATGTAAATGGCTGACCCTGCACTCTGACCCCAGGCTTCTTCCTTCCCATCTGTGTGTCTCATGAAGAGAAAGCTGGGGTGTGCGAAAAGACAAAATCCAATTGAAAGAAATTGTACATGGCTAATAAAGTGATCTTATCTCTTATCTTTTTTTTCCAACTCCATTCTCAGTAAAGTGGAGTACTGCAGTATGGAGTTTTATTTTTTCAATAAATTAACTTAATCTGGCCAATCCATGACCAATGAATATCTTGTGCTCCAAAAACCACAGCACAGTGCACGCCTGGCAGCCATCACAAGCCTTAACTGTCACGATCGCAAACCCCTCCTCTTAAGGTCGCTCCAGCCCTTCCTTGTTTGCCTCATTCCTCGCACCTGTTCCTTGTTCCAGCCCCTTTTCAGTTCCCCCTTAAAAGCCAGACGCAGGCGCTCATCTGGGCTCTGCATTGGTTTCTGCATCATGCGAGCCCGGGACCTGGATGCGCCTGGCTCCGTTATGGTTTTAGTTTCTGTTTCTTGTTCCCGTTCCCGTGCCCCCTGCTGGTTCCGACCCGGTTCCCATTTTCAAATCGTCTGTCCCAGATGGACTGCCGGGTTTTGGACTTTTGCCCTGTTTTTTGGATTTCCCATTTGTCTCATCCCTGGATCGTTTACCTCGGCCACACCTCCCTCGACCACCAGCACTCCAAGGACACGCCCCCCTGTCTTTATTCCCGTATCCTGCATGACTTTTTCCCAGTGTTTCCTCACTCAACCCCAGATTGTGTCGTCTGCATAGAGCCCGGAAAGAACGCTTTTGTGACATTAACATTCTTCTACATTTCTTTACTCTGCTTTCAGAGTATAAGATGTATGGTTGTAAGTTGATAATTAAATTTTCACAGGTGTACGCTTAAGACGAAATTGTCCTTAAAACATGTTTCTAACTATACCTATAATTAAAAAAACTGTCAGGTCATGTCTATCATTAACAAAGTGAGCATAAGTGTGAATTATGATTTTAGGGACTGTCAAACTGATATGTAACATTAAAGAAAATTTAACTTCAGAATGATTTGAACAGTAAAACAACTGTTCTATCTTGCACATTCATTTGCCCCTAGCATAATGATTTAAGCATTGTAGTCATCCTTATGCTATGGATTCATGCTTTAAGGACTTTATGTCCTGCAAAACAAGATAATGTATATGTAACGTTGACAACCTCTTCCAGAAATTTGTGCATTATACTGTAACAAGAGAAAACAATAACAAGAAATTGATGTTTGGACATCAGCTAATTGTAAAGGACTGCCAAACAAAAATAATACAGCTTTGAATAAAACTGCCCTATAAATACATTGCAAAGTAGAAATTAATGTGTATTTGGAATTACTGTGAATGAACCCTGAATATTATAGCTGTGAATTGGCAACTCCGGGTTACATACTGTAGCCACTCATGTTCATGTAATTAAAAACAGACGGATGTGAACTCAGACATACACAAAAGGACGTGTCAAAAAGTAAAGGCAGTTTATAAACAAAACAAGTTAGTGGCTTAAATATTGGCAAACAATGCATTTCTATTATTTGTTCCAGTAATAATTTACTATTATTCCTTTTTCACTCTATTTTGTGACACACTTGACAGATTTTGTTTTAGGTTAATTCTTAACTTTACTAAACCCTTAATTGAAGTAACAAACTCCTGGAATTGTAACCTTTGCAAGCTTTGTTTGGTACTCAAAAGTTGAAGATCTAAATTACTTAGGAGTCGGAACAGATAAAAGGTAACTTCTAACATGTTTCTGACAGCAATGAAAGAACTCACATTAATCATATTATTAGGTCAATTAAGGGGTTAGTTGTGTAACTGAGGTCTCAGTTTGAAGAAACACCAGAAGGTACAGTATGTGGGTTCCAGTACCAGGGTTGGTATGGAAAACAGACTGAACCACCCTACTATTCCTAACATCATCCATTCTATGGGCTTACACAACACAGTCACACATTGTATGTGGTTTTGTATTAAATGACTTCTCTTCTGCACTCCTTATATACTCTGTTATATACTGCTCTTACTGAGAGACATGGAAAATAATTTGTTCAGTGTTAAGACAGCTCCATTGTGTGTGGAAGCTTATACTTCTCTATGTCAAACTTGGAAAAGTGGGATGAAGTACTTAAACCTCCTTGACAGTGCTTCTGTGGTGTCACAGCTCTACCAGATACAGTATGCAGAGAAACAGCCTAAGGTGGAGAATTGTTCACAGTGGCATGAAAGGAGATCTGTGAGATGAAAAGAGTGTCTCAAGTGTGAGATTTTTCTCTGGCTTGCCTCAGGTTCAGGTAATGTAGGCCAGTTGGGGCCACACTGTTATTTTAATTAGAAACATACATCCTGTCTGTTTTTTATTACTCTCTATTTCTTTCTCTTAGACCTAGCTACCCGTCTAGTGAACTGCCGTTTTGGAACTGCTTTCCCAGAGGGTGTGGTTTTACTGCTCTGTCTCAAAACCACTGTAAACGTTGCTGGGTGTGCTTTCAAATCTCTTTGAGCCTGAAACCCACTGCACAAGGAAACAGTCTGTTTGACAGTTGCTGTTTATCTGGGATATCTGTCTCTCCCAGTCTTGTAGACTGCAAGAGTGATCCTTGGAGAATTGCTTTTAAACTGCTGGTTGTCTGCCATAGAATTGAAAAAAAAAGAAAAAAGAGTGGTTTATGTAATTGGGTGTAACCAACACTGAAGATGGGTGGTACTGCAACATATTAGGTACAGAGATACATCCACTCCACCCAGGCTGAAGTGACAGCATAATGAGGAAAGCAGAATCAACTATACGTGATGTTAGCAAAACACAGGCACACTGCATTGTTTTTATTGTCCAAGAAACTCCTGTAAAAGAGTGACTTGGGCTTTTTATACCCTATTTTAATTGCCTTTTCCCATGGCCAAAAATAGAAATTAGGTATTATATTAAATCGATTTTTCCATAAAGATACTTCTTCTAAGTTGCTACTAAAGTGGAGACATCACCATGCGGCATCATGCTGTCTTTTGTATGACTTCAGATCTGACAAATGTATACGTTTGTCTGCAGAGACCCTAGAAAAAGTTTCTCTTCAAGATTGACCAGCAGTTGCAGTTATATCACAGTTGTATCATACGGTGCATAATGAATTGCAGCATATCAACTTAAAGAAATATTTATGTTCATGATTTTCACTACAGATGTGCTGAAATGTACCTTTAATTCATCGTTTTATATAAAAAAAATAGTAAAATTAGCAAAAAAATAGTAAGAAGAGAATCTGCAGTTCATTCTCTGCAGCCTTTTAAATTCAACCTCTTAACAAAAATCAAGGTCAAAGTAACTTCCATGAACAACACAACATTACTACCTGTTTTTCATCATGCTAATGCAAAGAAGTCATGAAGACTTTGTGATATAAATATACACCTTTACACCATTTTAAAACGTTTTTAAGAAGATGTGAGAATAGCTTGTTTGCAGTGCAAAACAAAAGCAGTTGCAATAATCAGTTCGCCTTGCAGGTAAGCACTGAATGATAGCGGGCTCAAGAAGCCAGGTTAGCACCCCTCTTCACTCAAAGCTGCAAATGTATTCCCAATTCTTCAACCATTGCAGCAGCAATGTGACAGTGTTGCAACCTCCCATCACTGTGCGCCTTATTCTGACGTCACGTACCAAGTGTGTTATACTCGGCCCACGCATTTTACATTCATTGAGCAAGACACGCTCAAATCGCTAAGTGTACACGGAAGACGCGCTATATTTTCAGTTTGGAAAAAAACATGGTTGATTTACTGAGGTATTTATCGGTAATGCAGAACTGCACACGTCTAATTTATCATGTACAGTAGTTCGCTAGGTCATTTCCTTATTTTCTTTACTTTGCTAACAAAGAATTGAATTCGGAGAAAAATAATTCATTATTCTAGAATATTAATCTAGTATTATTAAAACTAGTATTAAGCTTTCGCAATAACCATAAGTATCAACTATATCGTTAAATAGACCTAATGTATATCTCTCCTTCTGTCATGAAACCCTCACTGTTTAAAGCTTTCTAAAGAACTGCGGCACTATACATACTGGGTACATTCTACAATTATATTTAAAATATAAGCAGTTTAATGTCTTTAGTGTCTTAGATTTCAGTGAAGTAAATGTTCATTTTCATTCAGTGATATGAAGTCAGTTTACCATATCAGCATGCATTGGCACAACTGCACCCACTATATATTACTTGAGGTGTGCAGTCATAATTCTTAGAAACCTGATAGTGGTGTCGGTAATAGTGCATATTCTTTGATGTAAAGCAGGGAAGAGGTGTATTCCTAAAATATCTCTCCTGGGCATTTGTTGAACTTCTACGATGCTGTCAGATGTCACACATGCCTCTGCCGTTCCGTGGTGAAAAGCTGCTGACTGGCATTCTGATTCCGGCAGGTTGTCTTTGTCCCTTTATCTCTGACTCTGGCCAGGTTTCCATGGAAACGAGTGTAGATTTAAAACAACAGGAAAATGAAATCATAAGGTTTTAATAGCACAATCTTGCTTTCTTTTCTGATTGCGCGGTTGGGTTGAAATCCTTTGTTCCTCGGTAGTATGGAATGAGTTACTGTACATCTATTGCGCGTGCATTGTCAGTTCAAACTGGTGACAGGAACAGCTTTGTGTATGGCATTCATAACAGGAGATGTTTTAGAGTAGTTTTTTGTAATTGTTTAAACATAATTATTTCATTTTGCATTATGTACAGTTTTCTAGAAAGTTAATGTGAGTTTAGATTTCTTTCCTAGTGTTTTTAGTGTCCTGTAATTATATAATTATTTGTTACAGTATGTGGTTAAATTATATGCAGGTTACATACAGTATAGTCCCATTGGAAAACATAATATTTATAGTATATCTAGATTTCTTAATTTAATATTTTCTGTGCTGTGGATTTGCCTGTCAGGAATAATATTTTATTAATGATATTTTACCTTGTATTTATTTCTTTGTCCAGTATTTCAGCTACTGCTTAAGCATTATCTAGGGATCTCATTGGTAGGGAATAGCCAGAATTTTTTTTTTGTTATGCGTCAGATTAATCTTTCATAAGAGACCTTGTCATAAACTGCACAGAACACTTGAACTGGTTTGCAGTTGAATGTCAGTGGCACGACAGGTCATCATGTAACTTCAAAACACTTCCTTTTCAGTCTGCCCAATCAGAGCTGACATTTCCCTAAACACACAGCACAGAGTATTAATGAATTAGGTTGCTAAAATGACGTTAAATAAACAAAGCTTATGAACTGAGTAGAGGGGTCACAGCAGTGTTGTTTTCCAATACTGAAATGCTTGAGGATTGTTTATAGCATCTTTATGAAAACACAACAGTAATTGACAAGTAAATAATCAAATTCCAGGAGATCCTATCTTGTTTGTCAACTTTGTAAGGTGCTAATTCTTCATTACAAATGAAAACTATCAATTGTTTTTGATTAATCTCACTGGATTTGTACAGGGTGACACAATAAATGAAATGTCAAATCCATCATTAGCCTTGATCTTAAGATATACATATCTAAGTCTGTCTGGGCATAAAAGGTTTTTTTGCTGTTGTAGAACAATAAAATATTCACTGCAGAATTACAAAGTCTGAAACTATTATTCAGATTCCTATTAGTAAATGCATGTACAGCACATTTCTAGTAAATTTGATAAAGTTCAAGGCTAAATATTATATAAATGATGATCCAGTTATATTTTCCTTGATATCTATTAATCAGACTCTGCATAGATCAGAGGACCATAATGCTAGATATTTTAGAATAAATAATGATTGCTTATTTTAATAATTATCATAGTTTTTATTTTTTTTCACATCTTTGTAGTGCCTGAAGAAACAAGCATTAAATTGCAAAACAAAATTATTAAACAGGCCTTCCACTTTTTCTACAAGTTTTCTACATGCTCCTACACACATCTTCCTTGTGCAAATGTTTAAAGATGTTTTCTGAGTGTCTTAATCAGTAAAGGCATTCACATGACATGTACTGTATGCTGGACTACAGAGCTCAGGTGTCGCAGGGTCTGGGTTTCATGTCAATAGGTGATTTGGTTGGGAGTCCTTCTTTGCCTCAGGAGTAGAATGGGATCAGTAAGTCAAGCTCCTCTTGGCTTTCAGCAGCATAGCGACTCATGGCCATTGCCCACAGGCTTGCTGCCTCAAACTGATGTGCTGCTTCTCCATTCAGCCCCAGCTCTACAGGTTCCTTGCTATGGTCTTGGAGACTCACACTCCAACTGAGCTCTCACTTTCATAACTGAACCCTTAAGTGGCCAAATAACAGGATTAATATGATCTCTTCAATTGTTTTTACTTCATCTTAAAGGTTGCCTTTTTCTGGTTTGCTTTAGAAGTAACTCAAGACTTTCTACCTCTAAAAAAATTGCTTGAACAGTTTTTAGTTTAATTAAAGATAGAGGAACTAAGAAAAATGCTTGTTCATTCAGTTAAGGATTCAATTAGTTTAAAGAACTTGGCTGGAATGATGACCATCAGGTGTTTGGTTCCCAGAGTAAGTAGGGCTGCTGTGCAGCTTGCAAGATGTCACATTACTAATAGATCTTGAGATGGGTCTGTGTGTCTCATTCTCTCTCGAGTGTGTACAGCCAGAGAGCAAGATTATAAATGAAATATGTAGAAATATGTTATATAGAAATATGTTGATTCCAGTGTGGTTACATACAGTGTATAATGCATAATAATGAGTAATTTCTTAAATTAAAACATTGGTGGATCCGACCAATCCATATTTATGTCCACCTTTGAGTTATTCGGATTGAATTTTAGAAAAAGTAGATGTCAAGCGAGCTTAATACTATAAGCCTTTCGTTTTGCAAATGAGCACTCATTGCCCAGCAAAGAACTGATCGTTTTAATGTTCTCATTAGATCCAATTGGCTTAAACTTTGGGTCAAAAAAAATATTTAATTTGAGTTGTGGAAGTGGAGTACTCTGCCATATTAAAATGAGCAGGCCTGGTGTATTGTGATACAACACCAAGCGCCAAGAAAAGACACACAGTACCTGGCAGATTGATCATTTGCCAAAACTTTCATTCAAAAAGGTGCATGTTTCCATGATGACAGAAAAGTTGTGGGCAAGCTGGACAGTTTCCTTATCTTTAGGAATGTTGATTTCAATTTAACAGGACTTTTAACAGTGAAAAATAAGACCAACCTGGAAATGATATCTGACACCTGAAGAATGGCCGACCCGTTGTGTTTTCTTTCTTCTCTTTTCAGCATGGAATAAACCTACAGTATTACTTGTTCCTTTGCAAACTACGCATGCTGATGCAGCTACCCACCTGAAAAAGATATGTGTAATGTTAGACAATATCAAAGACATACCTAACAAAATGTCAATTCCAGAATTCACTTAATAAACAAAAGGAATTTCTGGAAGTCGGAAACAGAAATTCTCAAAGTGATGCACTTTAAAGTGTACTGAATACCATTTGTGAAAGCAGAAGGCACACGATTTTCAAAGTGACTAAATAAAATGTTGCAACTGCTCTATAATGCAATACTGATATTTTCTTCCATTCATGTCATGTTCTCCAACATCAGAAATGTATCTTCCATTTTAGGAAAACAATGATTTAACTTGCTTATGAATTTTTGAGTGTCTGAGATGTTTGTGTCTTTTAGAGGAAAAAAAAGCTATAGGAATTTTGAATTTAAATGTTCAAGAGTTAGATTTTCGACAGTTTAAAGATAACCTTGCAGACCTTGTAAAATGTGTGCTTCTATTTTTACAGAACATGTTTTGATACCTTACACTTTTCTCAAAGTACTATCAAGTAGTACTCAGATGCATCTCCTTCACATGGATGTAATGGACAGACTTTGTGTAAAGGCACTAATGCATTTTAAGTAGCGTAGTAGGTGTGTTTTTCAGCAGATTATAGATCTTCGTTAGAGAAGGTATTGAATGTTTCCACAATATAGGACACCCAGTCTGTGTCTGACATGTAAATTCATCTAGTTATTATTCCCGATATCCACTTGTAAAAGAAAAGGTCTGTACAGTCTACAGTGATCCATTGTTGTTTTGTGCTTTGGGTGGGGGTAGTCCTTGATAGAAGTGAAGTGGGCCTGACTCCAGGAAATCTGGCGGTATTGTGCCAGACCCTAAGGACACACCACCCCCAGCTGATAATGAGGAGGAACTGACAGGCCCTGACAGAGAGGCCTGGGGGCCTCCTGCAAGCCAGCGTCCACAGAGAGTCTGCTGTTGACTCAGGGTCTGGAAATTACAGAGAATCAGTTTTGGAAAACTGAAAAAGAATCACACAGGATTTACTTTAGCTAAATCAGGACAGGACACGTGAAAGCCTTATACTTTGTGGAGCGCTCTAAAGATGTATGTGTAGACGGTCTTTGTTTCAGGGAATGATGTGGACTTTCACACAGTCCAACCTGTCAGTTAGCAATATTTAAGTAAACACCTCCTTGTGCATAACTCAGCTACTTGTGAGTAATGTTGATTAAACTTGACAGAGCTCACTGGGAATTATCAGACCCATCTATGTGGTGAACAATGTTAACATATCATGTGTCAATAAGTGAAATGATTAAATCCTAAACCACTCATATGCATATTGAAACACAAACAATGAGTTTGATTTTTGTGCTACATTTATATTTTTCATGATTCCAGGAAAAACTTACAAGGGATTTTTTAACAACAACAACAACAACAACAACCAGATAGTTAATCCTATATAATAATATTAAATTATTTTTAGGGGTATTATAATACCGCAGATGAGCATTGGAACCAATAGCATTCATTGCATTTTTTACTGCCTGTCTGTATATCTTCACATCTTCTGAATCATTCCATTTTTCCCTCTGTAGCTTGATTCAAAGCAGTCTGTGATTGATAGCGTCTTCCTCTGATAGTGTAGACATATTCATATCGTGCTTCAATCAAATCCACTCATTGCTGAAGCAGTATTTTTGTCTAAAATTAGTGAAAAGCTAGTATAGAAATAATTTACACACGTGTTACCTCTTTGTCCTGATTATCTGACTCATTACTTCTCTGAAGTGTACCTCTAACGTTATTGTACTAATTTCTCCTCATTCTGTCTCTTTTATCACAGCACAAACAGACCCTAACGGCTTGTCTCCAAGACAAATCAAAAGTGACAGTGAAGATGATGACCTGCCAAATGTGACCTTGGACAGTGTTAATGAAACTGGATCCACAGCACTTTCTATAGCAAGAGCAGTGCAGGAGTGAGTATCGATTTATGTATACTGTGTATAAACAACACTGTCTGCTCCACGTTTTTCACCTGTTATACCCATCTTAGGGTTAGCACATGTCAAAACGGGATGTAAACAGAATATTTGTTTTTATGGAAGTGCTTGATCTTTTATTGTATAATACAGTTGATCATTTAAAAGTATGAGTGATAAAAGGAGTGATATCTTCATATATTGTCATATATAATACTGTATATTATTCATATGTGGTCGCCAACTGCTCACCATTGGCGAGAGACCCACGTAATTAGATGTATAAGCGAATAAGAGCACACATTTTACCACAGAAATGTTACTACTTGATCTGCATGTTAATAAGTATTAGATTTAACAAGTATTTGTTGGCAAAACCGTCCAAAAAAAGAAGTCTAGATATTTCTTTTGGATTAAAAGAGATGTAATCACAAGCCTGTTTGTTTACAATGTCATATGACCACTTCACCTCAGCGGAAGTATAGTTGCCTCATTCTGGATTGCAGAATATGACTTTGCACATGCCTAGAAATTTTGTATATTTTATTATCTAAATTGGAGGTTTTACACATTTCTGTATACATTTTACTTTCATTGTCTTTTTAAATGCAGTCATCAATCTTTCTATCCCCAAAATAGAAAAATAGCTCTGCAGTGCCCCTTTAATACAACCTGTACTGTAGCTCTGAACCCTCTGGAGCTCTGGTGAACTTTTCGCTTTACAGTAAATAGCTTTACTAGAATTTGGATAGACTGGCATGAATTATTTCTCTAACACGTCTTTGCTTATCTGATGTAACCTAGTAGAATCAGATAAAAATGACTATTCACCAGATCCATCGACTTAATCAAAGCCACGACCTTTCCCTTCAAGCTGCTTTGTTCTTATTCATCATTCATCTTATGACATCCTTACCAGGTGCTGTATTTTGTGTAGAACAGTTACTATCACATATCAGAGGGCTTTTAAAGAGGTCTGTAGATGCTTGGATTTCACTTTGTATTTTCTATAAGAGTGTAGACGTATTTGAAAAAGTAAACTATTTTTTGGGAGGAGAAGTGAATTGATCTAATACTGTATAATACTGTATAAGAACTAATACTTCTACATTTCATGGCAATTGTGCAGTATGTGAAAGCAAAATGCTGAATCCTGTGGGTACCCTGTCAGAGTGACAATGTGGGTAAAAGACAGTACCTAAGAGGAGACATGCAACTGGAAGGTCACTGGTTTAACGCCAAGCTTCTACCACAGACTATGGTCCTTTATGGGCCTGGGGGTTCCTACAGGCCAAGGAAAATTGACTGTGGTTGACTCATGCAAAATAGCCAGGATAACTCTTGGTTTCCCAGTCACTTAACCTATTTTAAATATTCCTTCAACTATGCTTTAAAAAAAAAACAGAAGACAAATATGAATAGTATCCATCACAATTCATCAAGTGAATACAAGTTTTAAGAGGTAATGCGCACTGACACTTCAACTTTATTTTATTTAGATTTTATTTTAGTTGTTCCCAAGTTTCAAACAGTACTTTACCTGTAAATGGTCATCAACACATAGATTGTTAGAAAATAAATTAAATCTTCACATCTGTCCTATACTTAGAATTGGAGTATTACACATTCTCATCTTGTGTTGTACAAACTAGGCTATTGTACTGTGCCGTTCAATGTTCAGACATTAAATACCTCAAGGTTATGCAACCTTGAGTCTTCCATTGCATGTCATCACAGGATTTCGATCCATCCAGCTCTTTAATTACTTAATTGATCCTGATGCTGAAGATTAGTTAGCTGAAAAAGGATTTGTTGAAATAAAGACTTATAAATGAATGGAAGGGCCAGTGTGGTTTTCATAGACTTCTCACAGCTGATGCAAGGGAGCATAGTAGTGAAAAAAATTTTCTGTTCACAGTGCTTCTCATTAGCTGTGTCACCCTGTTCTTCGTTACTTGCCCTGGCCTGTTCATCCATCATCCTGGCAGGGTGTCCCAGTCATTAAGGAGGACAAGATGGGCTCCTCTTCTTCCTCTACTCTGAGGGGTGCTTTTTGCACAAGACATGGGAATGAGAAGCTACAACAAATAAACAGCTGTGTAGCAGGATCAGGCCAGGTCTGGTATTCCTGGACAGGGAGTCAGTGCCAGAGTGAGTTTGGAAGTGAATTAAATTGAGCAGGCTAGTGTGTCTGCTGCAGAGACTGGATTAAAAAGCAGATTTTAATAGCTAGAATGACAAATAACTACCTGAAAAAGAAACAAGAGTCACACAGAGAATTATGTAACCAAAGTAATAAATTTAATAACAGTGATAAACTATATTATAAATACTCACGTTTGTTTTAAAATAAATAATAGATTCAAAACATTCACAGATACCTTGAAACCGTAGTGTTTTTTTTTCTCAGTGCAGACTTGATTTGGAGTTCCCAGTTAGCAATTTAGTGACCCCTGAGATCTAAGGTGTATCACATTATTTTAACTAAGTAATGTACGTCTCACTCATTAGCCTGGCCTAATGGCATGTATAACTCATGAAAGGGCTTAAGGGCTGTAATTATTGTATTTTATGTGAAAAAAAATATTTTCTTAACATGTACAGTACATCTATTTGTTGTAAAGTGAGAAAGGTGTAAACAGATACCTTCTGTAGTAAACATCAAAATTGCAGTCTGTTATTTTATAGATTAGATGTATTTTGATTTTAGTGGCTTGAGGAGAACATCTATTATTAATTCAGTAGTTGGGGGTATTATAATAAAGACTCAGTCATATGTTTCACAAGCTGTTTTTACTTTTTCTTTCTCGCTTACTGAAAAAAATGTCTGCCAAAAAGCAGATGTGTTTGGTTTATTTACTCTTATAAAGCTCTATGTCTCCTATGATATTAAATATTATGTTTATCACAGTGCTTTTTGTTTTGTTGTTACTAAGTCACACAAAAAGAAATGAGAGAATTTTAGTACATTAGATATTTCACTAGTTTATTAGGTTTGGAGACATTTGATGATGAATTGCAATACATTTCCTTTTGAATGAAACATAACAAATATTACATGCAATAGAACATTGTTTCCAAAAGTCATAAAACAACCTTTATGAAAGCTGTACTGTATGGCTTCAGTAGATTGGAGCAAGACTTTTTTGTTCAAGGTTCGAAGTAGATTCATACTGATTCACTTTTCAGTTTTGTATCATAGATAACACAACCGAAGCCTGGTGAAATTATAAAACATGGTACTCTCAAAGTTCTGAGACTCTAGTTGTTTACCAGGTAAGCTTGTTAATAAGTAAAGTTATTCCTGAAATATCATGTCTGAAGCCAGCAGTTCTGCGGCACATTACCATATTCATGAGCTCCAAGGAGAACTGGCAGGACTATTGTTAGAGAGATCCCTGCTGGTGTCTTTGTGGCCCCCTGGGGCTCCAGCCCACTGAAGTGAACAGGTGGAGGAAGGGGGAGTAAGTTCATACAGTAGATTGGCCTGGCTGTGCAAGAATGCCTGAAGAGTGAAAGGTAACTGCCATTGTCTGTCCATTTATAAGCTCATCCATTTATTTATAAACACAATATCTGTATATCTGCTTGACTGTGCATATCCATCAGTCTATCAGTCACTTTGACTAGGCCTCTTCCTCTTTTTTGCTTTTTTCTTCTTTGAGTTCTTTGAGTTTAGTGGTATATGTACTGTATGTTCAGTACAAATTTGTTTCAGCACTGTAGCTTCTAGTTCATTCTCTCAGTCCTTCAAAAAATAAATAGTTATCCCAAAACACTTTAGTGACTGTATGTATAAGATCACTTTACTGGCCATATACAGTTTCTTATATTAAGAATTTGTCTTTTTCACATACCCCAACTTGCTCTCCATGAGACACACAGACAGGGAGAGAAGCTTGGGGTCAGAGCGCAGGGTCAGACATTTATACAGCGCCCCTAGATCAGTTGGGGTTAAGGGCCTTGCTCAAGGGTTGTGGGATATAAACTGGCAACCTTCCAGCCAGAGGTGCAGATCCTTACACAGAGTCATCACTGTACAGTATGTGTTTTATGTGTTTCTGGTAGTATGGGCATACCTCATGTCACTATTAGAAAACAACAGGTCTTTCAATTTATGTTTTTATAAGAGTGTGCAAGAAAACTGCCTGCAACACTGTTTAAAACTCCATTTGAATACTATGGCTAACAGCTTAAAATATTTGTTGAATTATATTTTTAGATGAAGAGAACTTACCTGAATGTGACAAACCTATTTTGGCTAATAAAAAACAATGAAATGGTTCAGATAGATGTACTTAAGGTGTTAAATTAAATAATAAAGTTAAAAAGATTTTAACATGTTTTTGGGAGGTCTGCTGTAGCTTCTTCTTAGTTGAGATAGTTTTAAATCCAGTACTGTGAACAAATTGTTTTGTGAACAAAAGTTTTATTTTCTCAAAAATACAACACAATACAAAACACAATTAAGGAAGAAACCACTCTCCACCTGAACAATCCCCCCTCATCCACCCTCAATCTGCTCTAAGCCCCTTCAGTATGGCCAGGCAGTGGCAATGGAACCCCGAAGCAGCTGTGCCTTGCCAAGCCTCGACCATTCCTCTACTGGTACCATGGATCCCAGCAATTAAAAGTTCCATATAAACAGCACTAACTGCAGTACTGTTAATAACATGCTTCCCATGCTGAGGTGACCTCAAGTCTGCCAGACTGGTGATGAGCTATGACAAACTTGTGCAATCTACGTCAAAATGAGTTTAGAAGGCACATATCTGTGGGGTTTCCAGCTGAAACACCCTCAGATGCACTTTCCCTGAAATCAGATTCGCTCTTTGCAAACTCAGGAAAGAGCACAGTGCCTTCCAGGGTGAAGAGGGTTTCAAGCCAGTGGCTATGGAAAGTTTTTGTATGGGCCTGCTTTAGCAAAACATGCTCAACCATATTTATAGATAATGTGTCAGCATGTTCAATGATATTCTATGAAATAATTTCTGCAC